TCAGTGTAGAGTCAGCTGAAGACAGTGCAGCAGTAGTGCTGCCACCAAAGAACAGCAGGGGAGGCCCAAAGATCCAGGTGCAGGGAGGAAGCAGAAAAAGCAGGCACCTGGAGTCAGAAAGCAGCGAGCTGACCCATGAGCACAAGCCAAGCTGAAGCTCCACCAGGACCTTGTGGAGTTGAGCCAGCAGCCAGGCTTGAGCAAGTACAAAGCCAGTCAGATCATAGGATCGAAATACGGCTTGAGCATGACAGCAGACAGATACAATGGCTCAGATCAAAGAGTTTGTGGGCCAGAGACAAGTATGCAAGCAAGGTTTGAGAAGAAAAGGCAGCCACTTAAGCATGGAGAAGGTGAGCGGGGGCACTCCTGCCGCCACGCGGGACCCCAACCGACCAACTCCAAACTCCAAAGCACAAACTACGAACCCGAAAGCACAAACCACGACCGACCAACCCAAACCCACCAACCCCAAACCCAAAAGCACAAACCACCACTGACCAACCCCAACCCACCCACCCCAAACCTTCAAGCACAGACCACGATCGACCAACCCCAACCCACCAGCCCCAAACTCAAAAGCACAAACCACCACTGACCAATCCCAACCCACCAACCCCAGACCCTCAAGCACAAACCACGACCGACCGACCCACCCCAACCCACCAACCGCAAACCCGAAAGCACAAACCACGACCGACCAACCCCAACCCACCAACCCACCAACCCACCAACCCACCAACCCCAACAACAAAACCAACAACAACAACAACAACAACAACGACGACGACGACGACGACGACGACAACGACAAGGACAAGGACAACAACTGCAACAACAACAACGACAACAACAACAACAACCACAACAACGACAACAACAACACCACCAACAACAACAACAACCAACAACAACAACAACAACACAACGACAACGACAACGACAACGACAACAACGACAACAACAACGACAACGACAACAACAACAACAACAACACAACGACAACGACAACGACAACGACAACGACAACAACGACAACAACAACGACAACAGCAACAACAACCAGAACGACAACTCCTGTGTCGCTGCAACCTCCCTAATAGTAAGCACCAGACCTTATTACTAAAAACTACTTCATCTCCTGGCATTTCCCTTTCTAAAGGCCTTACTAAAAGTGCTGCTTCTATGCTACAAAGCTAGCTCAAGGCAGGTTCTCCCTAATAGTAAGCACCAGACCTTATTACTAAAAACTACTTCATCTCCTGGCATTTCCCTTTCTAAAGTCCTTACTAAAAGTGCTGCTTCTATGCTACAAAGCTAGCTCCAGGCAGGTTCTCCCTAATAGTAAGCACCAGACCTTGTTACTAAAAACTACTTCATCTCCTGGCATTTCCCTTTCTAAAGTCCTTACTAAAAGTGCTGCTTCTATGCTACAAAGCTAGCTCCAGGCAGGTTCCCCCTTTAATAGTAAGCACCAGACCTTATTACTAAAAACTACTTCATCTCCTGGCATTTCCCTTTCTGAAGTCCTTACTAAAAGTGCTGCTTCTATGCTGGTGTGGTTCATCTTAAACACCGTGGTGGTGGTACACTGGTGTGGTTCACCTTAAACACCGGGGGTGTGGTACACCTTAAACACGTGTGGTTCGCCTTAAACACCGAGGGTGTGGCACACTTACACACCGGTGTGGTTCACCTTAAACATTTTTTTGTCCGTCCAACGCCTTCATGGCTTCCGCCAGGTCATTCAACACGTTCAATTGCATGTTGCAAAATAGGGTTCATTAGTTAATTAACGCATACACATATAGTAAAAAACAGACCTTATTACTAAAAACTACTTCATCTCCTGGCATTTCCCTTTCTAAAGTCCTTACTAAAAGTGCTACTTCTATGCTACAAAGCTAGCGCCAGGCAGGTTCTCCCTAATAGTAAGCACCAGACCTTATTACTAAAAACCACTTCATCTCCTGGCATTTCCCTTTCTAACATTTCGCTTTCCAAAGTCCTTAATAAAAGTGCTGCTTCTATGCTGAATAGGTAGCTCCAGGCAGGTGACCTCATTAGTACCTATTGATTCATTAATTTCAATTTCATTCAAGAAATCACTCCCTGGCCACAGCTTTTGCCAGGCCAAGCACTCCCTGGATGCATGCAGTCAGCAAAGTAGGTTCGCAGCTGAGAAAGAATACTAGACGACGGTTGGCCCGAGAGCGAAAAAGATGTTTTTCAAGCAGCTCTGAGGATGGTAGTCGTAAAAGATAGTCGGTGAATGGTTGGTGCATTTTAAATGAGCTATGGCTATGGAGGGATAAGGTGTGAAAAGTAAGATTGATTAAGAAGAGGATATTTGGTAAAGGGCATCAGATGACACGTGTCTTGCAACCACAGAGAGACATAGATATAGAGAGAGAGAGAGAGGGAGACGGAGAGAGAGAGAAAGAGGGAGAGGGTGAGAGAGAGAGAGAGAGAAAGAGGGGGAGAGAGAGAGAGAGAGAGGGAGAAGGGAAGGGAGATAGAAAGAAAACATGGAGAAATATAATGTGAGCAACAAAAGTGCACAGGAGGCTCGGTACCATGATGCTGCGAATGATATGTGTTATCTCATTTTACTATGGTAATTCCTACACACATTGCCGAAAAAGCTCGGTACCATCATTCCTCGGATGTGAAGAAACGCGACGCTTTTACACAGAGACGCTTTTACACACAGAAGCTTTTACACACAAACGCTTTTACACACAGCAGCTTTTACACACAGACACTTTTACACACAGACGCTTTTACACGCACAGAAACTTTTACACACAGACGCGTTTACACACGGATACTTTTACAGACAGAGACGCAGACCCTTTTACACACATTGTTTTACACACAGTGCCAACGGTACGCATCCAGTAATTCCAGGTGAGGCTTGAGTTTGTGAATTTCTTTTGCTTCCATTTGATGCAAAGCCATACGCAATCGGGGTGGCATAGAAGTGCGGGTGGGGTTGCTCTGCGGGTGGAAGTTCTCGTGCTCCAGGAAGGCAACAAGAAGACGGAGTACATTGTATTTGTCATCAGAGGCGGTGGCGGCAGATGCGTCGGGGGAAGCGTTGAAACTATCGAAATAGTTTTCCCTGAGTTCCATTAGCTTGGTTTTCATTTTCTCCATGCAACGGTGTGCTGCTGGCAGAAGATGGCGTTCCAAGTGGCGGCAATGCTCACCTGTGCTGGACATGCTTTGCTTGTGGGCTTGACGCAACAACCTTACTTGACAACATAAGTATCTTTCAGGACAAGTGCTTTGAAACACATACGTACAGAAAAAAATAAAAATAGACTCTGCCAACAATGAGGAACAAACATCTGTAAGGCGGCGAGGGTTTTTGACGTGTGGAAAATATATCTTCAAGATTTTGTAAAAAAACGTCCTTTCCCATAATCTGGTTCAACGCTGTCTCTGCTTTGTAGATCTGAAGCCGCTTCTTGGACAAGTGCTGTGCAAAGAGGAGTTCGCGACGAGACCCGTGACCGACAACGACAACTTTTTCACTTTCTTGCAGGTAGGGGGCCAGTGTACTGCGAACTGTGTCATGCAACGATGCGTCGGAAATTTTGCGGGGCCTTCCTCCGGGGTTTCGTCCGCTTGATTGTGGCGCCTCCAGGTTCGCACTTCTGGCTTGGCGATAGCTTGTCTTTCCGATGGCATAGCCTGAATCCACAAGTTCTTGCAAAGTACACGGCATGGAAGACACAACCATGTCCAACTGTGCGACGCTGATCGATGGAGCTCCTATGTTGCTGGTTCGCATCCTGTCTGCAAGGGATTGTCGAAGGTGTCCAAGCTTGCCAAGGAGCTGCGAGAAGGCTTGGTTTTCAAGCGAAAGACCAGGCAAGAAAGTAGAGCACTTGGTGAAAAGCTGCTGTAGCAACGCTGTAGCGTGGGGCAAGGTGGGGCAATGAGCTTCGAAAAGGTCATGGATTGTTTGTATGATGCGCTGGCGCTGTCTCCATTGCAAATCTAGGAAAGGCTTCGCCGAAGGGGGCATTGCGTGGGCTGAGGGTCAGTCGGGGCGGGTCCCCTTACGCCATCCTTACGCGCATGCTTACGCGGTCCTTACGCGGATTTCTGGCTCCAATGTCCGAAATTGGGATTTACTGCTGTCATCTCTTTTAAGCACTTGTTTCATGTCTTGTGTCTGGATCATTGGTCTCAAGTACTATTGGCGCATTTCCTACGCATGTGCTCATGTCATGGTTCTGTCCCATCTGCAGCCACTAGCCCGTGCAGCTATTGCTCTCCTTTTGCTCTTTCTGCATCTCTCTTTCCATTCACCGGAACTTGAACCTTAAAGTTTATAAAGACAACCCATGATGTCAGTCACAAAAGGGTGAAAGCTAGAATGCCAAGGTGTAAGTCAATCCCATATATATATAATTATAATAATATATATATATATATACACATAGATTCTTATTACTATCATTTTTACTATGAGTTTTATGGTTTTATACACACATGATGTTTATATATATATGTATATAAATGCTGCACGCATATATACATGTTCATATTTATTGATTTATTTTGGGGTACTGTCTTCGCATCAATTAACCTTCATTCTTTGCCAAAGGGTTCACCCTTCACATGAGAACAAATGAGAAACCACAAGTTCAGCACTTTCATTTCCCCCACTACATTAATCAGCATTTTCAAGCATAACGGACGAGGTTGAGACACAAATAAACCACCCCCCAAGTGTACCATAATGGGTGGTATAAACATAAATATTGGTGGTGGTTTATTTTTGTTCCAACCACATTAACTACACAGTTTCCAATCCAAACCATTTGGAACTTACCTATGCTCAATGCGCGCAGCCCATGCTGCTGAAGCTCCTCATTTTCTTCACATCATGACTGCGATTCACAGTGCTCCCCGCCAGCCGTGCGCGCAGCACATTCGAAGGATTTCCTACTTACCTTCACACCCCAATGCCCCAAGCGAGCTGTCTAAACCATGCGCTTGAGTTCTTTAAGGTACTTTTCCACCTGGGAAAGTGTGTTCCGAAGGTGCTCTTCCTGCTGCTGTGAACGGATGGGTTTCATCTCCAAAGACTTGGATCGAATTGCAACGTGCATGGCCTTGTCAGCCTGCACTTTGGAGATACTGCGGACGTTAAAATCTTTGCCCCGCATGATTTGCAAACAAGTTGGGCACGCGGAGCCTCTTTGGTCAACCTCCCGCGGCCGGGAACAAATCTGACATGACATGGCTTTTGTGGTAAAACCGCCACAGCCTTCTGGCAAAATCTTCTTGGGCTTTTCCTCAGGTGTTTCTGGATCTTCTACTGGTTTGCGCTTTTTGCCATGTTTTTTTGTTTTCTCACTACTTGTTTTCTGCGGTCTCTTCACTGCAGCACTGGCGGAACCCGTGGGTGGCTCAAAATGGACCACAGCATCAGGTATTGGTTTCACTCCGGCGGAACCCGTGGGTGTCTCCGAATGGGCCACAGCATCAGGCATTGGTTTCACTTGGACCGCTGTCGGACATGTACTCTGTGTGCTCGAAGACGATGTTGTGGACACTTCGGGGACTTCACATTGCAAGGGCCTGATTGACGCGAGCACCTGGCTTCATATAAACACATCTCGCCCCCAGAGACGTAAGCAGGGGTACATATATATATATATAATAAATAATATCTCTATATATATATATATTATATACAATATATATATATATATATTAAATATATTATATGTACAATATAAATATATATATATATAAAGGAAATAATATATGAATATATAATATATATATAGGGATATATAATATTTCAATATATATATATATATTCTTGCAGATGTTTCTCCAAACCAGCCTTGGTTCATCGAATCGGCGCTAGCTTTGGGGGACACAGGTGGCACTGGAGAAGTGAGAGCGAGCAACGTAGGATCTTCAACTGCTGCTGCAGTTTTCGTGGGCTTCACCTCATCACTTACAAGTTTGGCCAGGCTGCGGTCATCCTTCATAGGGTCAGCTGGCACCACCTGCAGCAGGGGCATGTGACAGTTCAACGGTCCAGGCTCCAAACAAAGAGTTTTGCAGATTCGTTGCGATGAAAAAGGTGCTTCGTTGCAATTGCTTTTGGCAAAATCTTTTGGGATGCATTGTGTTCCTCAGTCTTTGGGGCGAGTTTCCTCAAGGTAGTGGATAAACAAGTCGTAGTATGCCACGCGCCCAGTACAAATGCGGCTTGGTGATGGCTTGGCCGCGCCACTCCCCTGCTGGTGACTCCATGGTAGCCGTCCTCACGGTGACAAAAGAAACATGGTCATAAAAACTGAAAGTTTCAGATCGGGTCTTCCCACAACAAAAGCCACCGAACAAAATCAAGATTCATCCCAGGAAAAATTGTCACAAACAAGTATACCATGCTGGATTTGCACCAGGGATCGCAAGAAGTGAGCCACGTTGAATGTTTTTTCGCTCCAAGCGGGCTCTGCCATTTTCCCACTACATGTCACCACGTGACATGCGCTGGGCCAACCCCCGGGACAAGCAAATAGGTTTTTTTGTCCCATCTGATTTGCGCACCCCTGGATACCAAAACGGCTTCAGTTATAGCTACTAAGGCCATTGAGCTGATTTCGGTTTACGGATGAACTTTTTGCATATAGCAAAAACCTATTTAGCGATCTTCTTATAGATGTTTTTTATTTGTATAAAAATCACCTCGAAAAAAACTAAAACTCCGGAAACCATCGCCCCTCAAGGCATTTCAAAAAACACACATGGGCAACATTCTTCCCACCAAAATTCGACTTAAATGATGACCCAAACATGAGAAGAAGAACGCTAAGTTGGCGATACTCAAGGGTTTGGGTTGGAAACATATAGGGCCTGAACGGAAACCTCCGAGAAAAACAACATTTGTCATTTGGAGTTACGACTACAGGTTTGTGCGAGGTAAAATGGTGTATGTAAGAATCGGGATGTTTTTTTACTATTTACAAACAAAAATAAACAGCATCTGTTACCATTTTCGACCTGATGCGGTTCAATATTGTACAGCATTGTTCAGTCCAGCTCGTCTGTTTTCTGGGAGGTCAGGCTCACATCAGGCTTGCATGCTCCAACATCTATTTTAGTCCTCCTATGTGTTTCTTTCTGTTTGAAACTTAAAATCTATGTGAGTTGTTGGTGGTGTTTGTGGTTTTGTAATTCGCAGCGCTCTCTCCATGATCTATATATGTTAGTGGTATGTTAGTGGTTTCCCACATATTTTGCCTCTTGGCAAGTCCACATGAAAACCTACGTTTGTGTTTTTCCCCACCTGCCAGGTGAGGGTTGTTAGATTTTATGTCAGTTGCCTCCTCCTCCTCCTGCTCCTCCTCCTCCGCCTCCTCCTGCCTCGTCCTCCTCTCCTCCTCCTCCTGTCCTCCTTGTTATCCTTGTCGTCCTTGTCGTCCTCGTCGTCCTCGTCGTCCTTGCTTAACTGCGACCCGCGATCCACAGTGTTCTCTGCCGGACCTCAACCACGACCACCCACGCCCAGTGTTCCCTGCCGGACCTCAACCACGACCATCCACGCCCAGTGTTCCCTGCCGGACCTCAACCGCGACCATCCGCGCCCAGTGTTCCCTGCCGGACCTCAACCGCGACCATCCGCGCCCAGTGGTCCCTGCCGGACCTCAACCACGACCATCCACGCCCAGTGTTCCCTGCCGGACCTCAACCGCGAGTATCCACGCCAAGTGTTCCCTGCCGGACCTCATGTAGGAAGATAAAATGTCAGATAGAGTGCCAGAAGATTTGCCAGGTAGAATGCCAGAAGATATGCCAGATAGATATGCCAGAAGATATTCCAGAAGATATGCCAGATAGAATGCCAGAAGATATGTCAGAATATATGCCAGAAGATATGCCAGATAGAATGCCAGAAGATATGTCAGATAGAATGCCAGAAGATTTGCCAGATAGAATGCCAGAAGATATGCCAGATAGATATGTCAGAAGATATGCCAGAAGATATGCCAGAAGATATGCCAGAAGATATGTCAGAATATATGCCAGAAGATATGTCAGATATAATGCCAGAAGATATGTCAGAATATATGCCAGAAGATATGCCAGATAGAATGCCAGAAGATATGTCAGATAGAGTGCCAGAAGATATGCCAAATAGAATGCCAGAAGATTTGCCAGATAGAATGCCAGAAGATATGCCAGAAGATATGCCAGATAGAATGCCAGAAGATATGCCAGATAGAATGCCAAATAGAATGTCAGAAGATATGTCAGATAGAATGCCAGAAGATTTGCCAATAAGAAAATGTATAAATGTCATGGTGGGGATCACACGAAGTAAAGTAATTTTGTATGGATTTTGCATTTATTTCTCCACATCTGTTTTAGTTTTAGTAGCCTGAATGAACATTTAATGTTTGGTGAATCTGCCTGGGCTTTGTTAGGTCTGTGTTGTTGGTCAGTCGTTGCAGGAGCTATGTCAGTGATCCTTTGCATGTTCGTGGTTATACACTCTGTGTTTCATTTGGAATGATATTGAATGTCTATGTTATTGATTCAAACGGGTTTTGCGTCTTGCAGCTCAATCCACGGGGTCTCTGTTTGCGGTATTCATTATGTTTTTCCTCAACCCCAAATGGGAGTCTATGTTAGTGGTTTTCTATGGGCCTGTATTTTCCACACTTCAATGCCGAGGTCTATGTTAGCAATTCTGGATGGACCTAGATTACCTAAAACTATATAACGATCACCTGGAGGATCAGATTCAAGACTTTAACGAAGCTCATCACCCGGCAATTGATATTCATGTTGGGTCCAAAAGCACCACGGACACAATGCAAGCGCAGAAATAAAAGAACTAACATAGACCCAGAGAGGTTCTACAATCATGGTTGTGTTCTAGTTGGAGCCCCTGTGCACTGCGCACTCTGGAACTCAACGCTCACACTAACATAGACCTTGAGATACAGTAGCTCTTGGCAACATGCTAGATTGAAATGAAGGACTAAAATATAAATATATATATATATCTCCATCAGGAGTTGCGATAATATTGAGAATGTTTAATACCGCAAAGGTAGGCCCTGCGACTTGTGCGGCAAAACGCAAAACCCACTTTGATCACTAGCACAGACCTGCATTAGCTTGAAAAGATTGAGAGAAACATGGATCCGCACCTTGCTTTTGCAAATGTCCCATCTAATGAAACAGAGGCAAACATAGTCTACAACAGGTGTGGCACCATGCAAACACACCCAACTAGAAACCATGAGTAAAGTAGATAGTGGAAAGATTGGGACAAATTGGCTTGACCAAGTTGCCCCCGAGTGGAAGCATGCGATTTTACATTCTTGTTGAAAACGTCGAACACTAACATAGATGGGAACAGCCCCCAAAAGGCCACCAACATAGCGGTGGGACCAACAAATGGACATGTATGAAAACTCCAGCTAACATAAACAGTCTTTGGAAACTGTTTAGAGTCATGCTAGTTCTGTTTTTTTGTGTTTCCCGCAAGGTTTCAAAACATACACGAGTCCAAAGACATGGATGCGCAGAAAATTCACAGATCTATGTTTGTGGATTTTCCCAATATCGTCAGATTGCCCAAACTGAATTTGCCACTAACACTTCACTGGTTTTAGAAAACAAGACCCACTAACATGGACCTGTCAAGATGATTTCAAAACATGTGCACGCCCTCTAACATAGACCAGAAACTGATTCATGAAACATACCGAGTTCATTTAGGCCAGTAAGATAGACCAAGTGCAAAATCGATACAAAACCCCCAACATAGATACCAGACTGTTTTCAAAAATATCAAATTCTACTAACATAGATGTAATGGGTTACGAGTAAAATCCATGAAAAAAACCCAACATAGATCCGAAAATTGAACAAACATGCTAAAAAATGCCAAAATCGTTCAGGATCCTATTAACATAGATATGGGGCATCAAGTGCAAATCCATCCAAAACCACTAGCATAGACAGCATAGATGTTTATTTGGATTTCCTAGGTGCAACATTTTGTAGAAACATGTGGGAAACCATTAACATAGATCTTGGAGGCTGCATTGCAAGTTGCAAAAACAAACAAACAAATATAACAATATATAACATAGATAACCTAAATATAAATACAAAAAAAACAAACACAAAACCACTAACACAGATATGCTGCGATTCCAGAATGATGCAAATCTGACCGTCAAGGATATTAACAAAAATATTGATTTTTTGAAATGATGTTCACATCCTCGGTAGTTTCAAAAAATGATATAATTTGAAATGATAATGAAGAGCTTTGTTTCGCATTCAAACATGCTTTGTGATTTCCAGAAGCATTTCTGGTGACAATTCTACGCAATTGGATTTTGGTGTACAAAAACACAACTAGGACTGTAACAGTTTGCAGGCGAAAACCATGGAGAGGCACACGTTTTTGAGGCTGACATGATTGGCATGACAAGCAAAGGCTTGGTTGGCCACGTTTGAAAGGGTGTGTTTGGCTCGGTTTTTTCGGTCAAACATAAACCGCACAAGAAAGAAAATCAGGCACTCGCATATTCTAATGATTGAAAATCTGATAAACCGTTATAGGCCATAAGTATCGACAGCTTGATATTTTCTGCCGATTTAGGATGATATATTGCAGGTCTATGGTTCATTCATACGATGTTGGTACAATATTTGGGCCAATGTTTGTACAATGCATAGTCCCTACAATGTTCGTACCATGATCGTACAATGTTCGTACAATGTTCGTACAATGGCCAAAAAAGTTCGTACAATGTTCGTACAATCTACCACTAAAGTTCGTACAATATTGTACGAACTTTTGGCCATTGTACGAACCTTGTACAAACATTGTGCCCTGAGTCTCCGAAATTAGTAAATTAACTTAGGAGTCTAATTTACGTAAATCAAAAAATCTGGTCAAAATTTGTGGCGACATCCTAAATTGATTTAAGTTGTAACCAAAATTTGAAATGCATGAAACGTGCATTGCATTTTCTTGTGTTGTATGTGTTTTTGATGTTTCTCAGGCAGCTTTCTCAGGCAACTTATGTGTCATGATGTGCAATTTGATTCATAGTTACTTGAGGGTAGTGCAAAGTTACTTAAATGATCTTAAATGTAATTCACAATTACTTGTGTAATTCACAAATCCTTGTGAGATAAAATCATATAAAACATTGTGTGCACCAACAACACCCTGGGAGTTGAGGTGCCACTGTTCTTAATCACTATGTAAATTCAAGGTA